GACCTCTTGCGTGAGGGGAGGGTGGGCCGATGGACTTGATGACTCATCCATTCCAGCCCAAGTCTTCTGCTTTAAGCTGTTTATCTTTAGAGGGTTATGCTGTTGAAGATTATACTTACGAAATATTATGGACGTATTGCCTCGTGATGGACCAAGAGACAAGAACAGACAGGACTGGTTTTGAGGTCAGAGAGCTGTTTTGAGGCAGAGTCTGGAATGAGGAGGGAAGGGGTAAAAGGGGGGGTGGTCCTCGGGTCCTTTGGATCCCGCACATCAGAGGCACCCAACCCCCCGCTCCTGGTAAGCTGAGCCGGCAGGGCAGGGGGGGTGGTGCCACGGGACTGCTCGGGGTCAAAGAACTTCTACCAGGGCTTCTGAAGCATGGTGATGGGGGAGAAGACCCCCCTGCTGCAAGCCAGGAAGAATTAAACTTGAGGAAGAATGAATTTTCCATTCTTTCAGTCTGAGATTCTGACAGTGTCTCAGGCTGAGCAAATTCAACTCCCACGGTCCCTGGACGTCGAGAGCCCTCATGGGTGGGAACGGTGAAGGTTCTAGGTTGATTCTGACATCAAGGTTATTGTGTATGAAAGATGGCGTGAGTGACCGCATGCATGTGTGTGAGTGTATGTGCACGTGTATACGCCTACGCATAGCCTGGGGTGGGAGCACGTGTGGGGCTCCATACCAACCTGTCCCTGTCACGTCTGTCTTCCCGTCATGGTCTGGGGTCAGGAACTGAGCTCCTCCTGGCCTCCATTGTGTCCCCAAGGTTTTGAGTGTTGCCAGGCACCTATTAAACACTTAAATATTTATTGAATACACAAATCAAGAAAGGCTGGAAGGGAATTTTTTTAAGAAGCATTTAGATGGCAATTTTTAAAGAATGAACCTGGACGTTTTAATCAGTCACAGAACAATGACTGTTGATATCTCTTAAGCTCTTTTTGGTGGCAGCGTGATAAGAAATGAAAGGAAGCTGACAAAACAAGGGGCCAAAGTTTAATTTACACACTATTAAAAACAAACATGCACTAACTGCTAAAAACCCAAAAACCTAGATTACCAGCCGAGTGTAGTAGAAATATACTATGATTTTGTAGTATACTTGTATTTTTCCAGAATTAAAGTAGCTTTATTGTATTTTCTGATTAGTAAGTACATACACGCGTAGAGTGGCCAAACAATAACAGTGTAAAGAATTCAGTAAAATACCTTATTTTCGTGTTGTTAACATTGGTGAAAAAAATTTTTTTAATTGTGGTGAAATACATAGAACATAAAATGTACTATCTTAACCACTTTGAAGTGTTGAGTTCAGTGGCAGTAAGTTCGCTCACGTTGCGTATCCAGAACTTTTTCATCTTGCAAAACTGACACTCTGTAACCACTCAACAACTTTGTATTTCACCCTCTCCTCAGCCGCTGGCAACACCGTTCTACTTTTTGTCTCTATGGATTTGAGTATTCTAGGGAGCTCAGAATTATACCGTATTTGTCTTTTGTGTCTGGCTTATTTCACTTAGCATAATGTCTTTGGGGTTCATTCATGTTGGAGCATGGGTCAGCATTTCCTTCTGTAGAATATTCCATTGTAGGTGTATATACCTTTTGTTTATCCCTTCATCTGTCAGTGGACACTTGAGTTGAATAATGCTGCCATGAACATGGGTGTTGAACATGGTTTCACATGTTCCTTTACCTCCACAAACTATAAATCAGATCATACTGTATGCGTTGCTGTGTAATGTGTATTTTTACTCTATGCTGTGTATATCCTCCCTTGTCAATTAATAATGATATGCAGTGCTCCTTTATGCTGGTGCGTAATGCTTGTGCCCTTGTATGGATTTATCTAGTTGTGGTTGCACATTTAGGTTGTTTTTTATTTGTTGCTATTATAACCATGCCTCAATAAACATGCAAAATGTATAACTTTGCCCCTTTGCTTAGTAATAAAAATTGTAATGGTTGCGGGCTCTTGGGTGGCTCAGTCGTTAAGCGTCTGCCTTCGGCTCAGGTCATGATCCCAGGGTCCTGGGATCGAGCCCCGCATCGGTCTCCCTTCTCGGCGGGGAGCCTGCTTCTCCCTCTCCCTCTGCTGCTCCCCCGGCTTGTGCTCTCTCTCTCTCTCTGTCTCTTTGTCTCAAATGAATAAATAAAAATCTTTAAAAAAAATGTAATGGTTGGCTCTCAGGCTGGATCATGCAGAAGCAGAGCCTGAGGATTTGGGTGTGAATGATTTACTAAGGGGGTGTTCTCTGGAGAAGAGGCAAGGGAGGCAAGATGGGGAAGGGGCCAAGCAAAGAAGTCCTAAAGTCTAAGTCTGATTGGAACACAGTCACACTGGCAGGGTTGTCCCCCTTGAGTCAAGGGGGACTGTCAGCCACTTACTGTGTGACTCACAGGTCTCTTGGGGCTCAGCCAAGAGCAGTTCTGGGGAGGTATTGGGTATGAGCTGTTAGCACAGCTCTCACAGCTGCTGGGGGGGAGTGCCGCCCACCCTGGTGTGGCTGGGTGGGACATCACCACCAGTGCTAATAACGTTTCCGTATGCCCGCTATGGTGCTAAGTACATCAGTGCATATTTCATAGTCTCGTGTTCTGGATGCTCATATTATCTGTGGTTTACAGATGAAGAGCTGATACTGAGAGAAGATAAGTAACCAAGTGTCCCACAGCTAGGAAGGGGGGCTAGCATTGGAAGGCACACTCAGGTCTGTCCTCTACCAGAGCCTGAGCTCTTTATCCATAGGCTGTAGAACCTAATCATTAACGCCTAGAGGTGGAGTCGCTGGACCAAAGAGACATTTCAGATAGACATTACATTATCCAACCTTCTCCCCCCACCCTCTTCCCAAGTTGTGTCGATTTATATTCCTTCCAGCGCTTTGTTCTCCTGCCATCCCTGGGTCTTCTCAGTCTTTTAAATATCTGCTGATCAAATTGGTAGAGAGTTTTGTCTTGATTTTCTTTTCTCTTATGATTGCTGAGATTTCCGTGTTTATTAGCTAGCTGGATTTTTTTTTTTCCTCAGGGCCCAGTTTTTGGTTAAGGCCTTTTGCTCATTTTTGATGGTCCTTTACACAAATGTTGGAATCTTCCAGATCCCCTGCAGGGATTTGAAATGCTGCATTTATAGTGCACTTGTTTTGAGCCAGTACTCCATTCTATTTTTAGACTTTCACTGAGTTCTTGGTCTGTCTTTTGCTAGGATCATACTCTTTTAATTATTGTACAGTTTATTTTAAAAGATAAAAACTTGTAGGATTTTTGTTGTCAGCTCAATGCGAACTGAAGGTTGCCAAGTCTAGGACATTTATAGGCCCTCCAGTCCCAAATAAGAATAGATAGAATTCTTTTGTTAGCAGTTAATAACAGTATATGCCAGTAGCTACTTTTCTTTAGTGAAGGCGCCATTTGTCTTTCCAGCTCTGTCTGTAATACTTCCATTTGCCCTTTTCCTTAAAGGGAGTGGGGGAGGTAACCTTGAACTTAGTCATCGTTTGAATTATCAGTGTAGCAGCTAGTACTGAATTTGCAATTGAGAGAAAATCTGACTCGGAGTGGCTTGGGTATGAATGAATATCTGTTAGCTTTATCTAACTAGAAAGTCCAAGCATGGGTCTGACTTCAGGCAGATCCTTAATCCATGGCTCAGTCATCAGTGTCTCGCTGTCCTTCCTTCGGCATTCCAAAGGATGTGTTGGCTGCATACTCAGGCAAGCTTTTGCTTCATGGCAATATGGCTGCCCAGTCCAGCTGAGTCTTTGAAGGTAAAGTCCAATGGGAAAAGACTGGATCTCCTACCCCCAAATTTGGGCCTGACTGCCATTGGCCTAACACCAATAACTGTAACAGGACAGTGTATGCATTTTGACTTATGCCTGGTACCCAAGTGAATTTGGGGAGCTGTTACTGGAAGAAGAGAGAATGGGTCCTGGGTGACCAGGAATATCAGCAAATGCCCTCTACACTCACATTAGTAGAATGGGCCTTAATGGTGCTTTATTTTCACAATGAGAAAAGTTCATAATGTCAGGCTCGGGAAGAGAATCATTTTTAGAGAATGGGGCTTGCCCTGGGTCTGGTGACTTAAAGGACGAGGGAATCCCCCTTTCAGGTGATTCTGTGACCGTGGACCATCTGGGGATCCTGGGGGTGCCGAGGCCATCAGTGATTCTTGACAGAGCTTAGTGGGGTTCTCATCTCCTTTTAATGAGTGAGGCAAGGCTCGAGACTGCCATTTCATTATTAAACCAGAAAATGGCTCCTCAGAATCACAGGACTCGCTCTTCAGAGACCAAACGTCAGCTGGCTGCAAAGGGGTTAAACTGCACACTCAGGTAGTGGAAAGTCAGAGTTAGTCCCTTGGCCAAAGTACATCTCTTCCCCAGCCTGTTTGGGTTTTGCTGTTACTTAAATGGTTAGCTATGCCCAGATAATGAAAGTTTTACTTACATTTCTTTTTCTTTGCTTAAAACCGAAATTCTTCTTGAAACCCACCCCCCCCCTTTAAATAAACTTTAAAGTCTAATACCAGAAGCAGCCTGCATATTGGAAACACCAGTGGCTGGTTTCCGGGTCTCTCTGTGCTCCTGATCATGTGTGGCTGTGGGTGAGTCATAGAACCTCTCCTCATCTCTGTTTTCCAGTTTGTGAAATAAAGTGGTAGCACTAGATGCCCTCTGAAAGTATAGAAATAGGGTCCCAGAATGATAGTCCGAAGTAGTTGTAGAGAACGCCACGTCCCGCCCTCACACTTAACCAGAGGAGAAGGCCTAGGGATGTTCAGGCGCCTGTGAGGGATGATGCTGGAGAAAGAGCCTCAGATCTTGTGTTTTAGTTTGGGCTGCTGTATAAAAGGCAAGGACAACCATTTTTAAAAATAAAAAAGAAGTGTAATTGATATGCTAAGAGAGGAGAGAAAATGGAGTCACATGAAATGCTCAGTCAAAGCCTCAAAATGCAGAAAAAGAATGGAAGACAAAATTAGGAGCGAGGAACAAGGCTAACAAATAGAAAACAGTAACGTGCAGTAGGTGTTAACCCAGCTGTGTAAGTCATCACTGAATGGCAGTGGCCCAATGAACCAGAAGTTGTCAGAGTGGATCAAGAAACAAGACCCAACCACATGTTGTCTACAAGAAACCCACTTTAAATATAAAGACTCATACAGAGTAAAAGTGGATGGATGGAGGAAAAAACAGCATGCTAAAACTAACCAAAAGAAGGCATTAGTAGCTATATTAACTTCAGACACAGCAGACTTCAGAGCAGGGAAAGTTATCGGGGATAAAGAGGGAAGTCACATAATGATCAAGGAGCCAGTTCTTCAAGAAGATATAACAATTCTTAACACGTATGTGCCTAACAATAGAATGTCAAACTACACGAGGCAAAAACTCAATAGAATTGCAAAGAGCAATAGATGAATTCACTTTTGTAGTTGGAGAGTTCATCACGCCTGTGTCAGGAATGGACACATCCAGGAGGCAGAAAATCAGTTAGATATCATTGAACTCAACAGCACCATCAACGAACTGGATGTAATAGACATCTATAGACTACTTCATCCAACAACAGCAGATTACACATTCTTCTCAAGGTTCTATGGAACATTCCCCAAGATAGACCACATTCCAAGCCGTAAAACACCTTGACAAATTTAAAAGAACCAAAATTCTACAGTGTCTGCTGCCAGAAAACAGTGGAATTAAATTAGAAATCAATTAACAGAAAGATACTTGAAAAATGCCAACATATATGGAGATTAAACAACACACTTATAAATAACACATGGATCAAAGAAGAACCTTGGGAGAAATTTAAAAGTATTTTGAACTAAGTGAAAATGAAAATACGCCTTATCAAAATGTGCAGGATGCAGCAAAAGCAATGCTTAGAGGGAAATTTATAGCACTGCAGGCATATGTTAGAAAAGGAAAAAGATGTAAAATCCATAATCTAAGTTCCCACCTTAGGAAGCCAGAATAAAGAAGGGCAAATTAAATCCAAAGGAAGCAGAAGAAAAATAGTAATAATTAGAGCAAAAATCAATGAAATTGAAAACAGAAAATCAGTAGAGAAAATCAATGAAACCAAAAGCTGGTTCTTTGAAAAGGTCAATAAAAGCATTAAGTCTCGGGGCACCTGGGTGGCTTAGTCGGTTAAGTGGCTGCCTTCGGCTCAGGTCACAATCCCCGGGTCCTGGGATCGAGCCCTGCATCAAGCTCCCTGCTCAGCAGAGAGGCTGCTTCTCCCTCCTTCTTCCTGCCACTCTGCCTACTTATGCTCTCTCTCTGTCTCTCTGTCAAATAAGTAAATAAAATCTTAAAAAAAAAAAAATAGCAGCAATAAGCCTCTAGCCAGGCTAATTAAGCTAAAAAGAGGGCACAAATTACTAATATTAAAAATGGAAAAGAGGACATCACTGCACATCCCATGGACATTAAAAGGATAATAAAGGAATACTATGAACAATCCTATGCCCACACATTTGATAACTTAGATGACATGGTTCAATTCCTTGAAAGACGCAGTTTGTCAAAACTCACACAAGAAGAAATAGACAATCTGAATAGGCCTATATCTCATAAAGAAATCAGGTCAATAATTAATAACCTTCCAAAACAGCAGGTACCAGGCCCAGATGGGCTTACTGGTGAATTCCACCAAACATTTAAGGAAGAAGTTATACCAGTTCTTTAGTCTCTCTCAGAAGCAGGGGGAATACTTCCTAATGTATTGGGTCCAGCATTATTGTAATACCAAAACCAGACAAAGACATTACAAGAAACTACAGAGCTGTATCACGCATGAACATAGTTGCAGAAGTCTTGGACACAATATTAGCAAATTGAATCTAACAATGTGAAAAAAAAAACTAACACACTACGACCAAGTGGAATATCTCCCAGGTATGCAAGGCTGGTTCAGTATTTTTTTTTTTTTTAAGATTTTTATTTATTTTAGAGAGTGTGAATGAGGGGAAGAGCAGAGGGAGAGGGACAAGCAGACTCTGCGCTGAGCATGGAGTCCAGTGCAGGGCTCCGTCTCACGACCCTGAGATCATGGCCTGAGCCGAAATCAAGAGTTGGATACTTAACCGATTGAGCCACCTAGGCGTCCCTGGGTCAACATTTAAAAATCAATGTAATCGACAGACATATAAATATAAATATAATTTAAACTACTACAAGAGGGGAAAAAAGGATTTTTGTAGCCATCAAGGAAATCCCGTACACATGACAGGCCCACAGTGCACATAGGCCTCCAGGGAATGCCCCAAGCTCCCATGACTCTCTCTGGTTTCAGGTACCCACTCCTCAGTCCCCTCTGCCTGTGGTTCCACCTGCCTCTCTGCAAACCAGGTGCTTCCCCCCCGCCCCTCCCTGCAGCCCCTTCATCGAGCCCATGAAGCCTGTCTGGCCCCAGTTGCCTCCTGGTCTCCTGATGGCTTCTGCTTCTATACCTCTTCCTTGAGTGTATTTGTACAAGTCCAGCCCTGAGGACAGGAAGGGCTCAGCTCCTGCTTTCAAGCTAGGCCACGGAGGTTAAAGGTAGCCTGGAGCTGGTGTCCACTGTGGTCCGCCCTGGGTCAAGGCTCTGCCCTGGCTCTGTCAGCTGTGGCCACTGCTGTGGGCTCGTGAGCTACAAAACATGGTGCCTCAGCGTTCTGTGGAGGGGCATTTTCCTGAAGCAAGCATGCTCCCGCAGCACCAGAACCAGTGAGTTCACCAGGTATCGAGCTCACCGGGTGTCCTCAATCACCAAATAGTGTTTTCCCACCTCAGCCTGAAAATACTAGGATTCCTTTTAGAGAAGATGGGGCCTGTGGTGGCCCTTGCACCTGAGTTCATCTGCAGAGAATGGGGTAGGACATCCTGGGATAATTCCAGGAGATTCAAAGTCATTTTTAGGAGAGCTCATTTCTACCCAGCGGGGGTAAATACGGTTTTTAAATTTTGATGTTAGTTACTCTCCTGCTCTTCTTCCAGAATTGCCACGGTCTTAAATACAGACAAAACTTGAAGCTCTTTAGGCCTTTTCTCCTTCTCATGTCAGGTGCAGAGCATCCCAGAGTTACTTATCTCTGGCAGATCCTGGGGTTTTGATTAATGAGATTCCTTGAGGATTTAGTGTCAGTGATTCTGGGAGGCTTGAAAAATGGCACTTTTTCTCTGCTTTAGCTGGAAGTGGAATTAGGAACGATGGTCAGATGATGAGGGCCATGATTCTGCACAAGCCATAGACTGTAATATGATGCAAAACATGTGTCTCTCAAGTATAAGCAGCAGTGCAGCCTGCCAGTGAACTTCAAGGAGATACTGAGGCTTGGGAAATGGAGAGCCCCAGGGGGAGGGTAGCAAGAGCAGAGACCTTTGGCTGTTTCAGACTTCAGCAAGAGCACATCCAAATTTCAGTCTGGATCAGCGCTTCTCTAGGAAAGTTTGTGGATGTACAGCATTAATCTGGTGGGTGGGCTGATTTACACACAAAATGTAATTGATTCCATATTCCTCTCAGACCTAAAAACAGTACTCAGGTTTGTTTTTAATAACAGAATTACTCAAGTTTAGAAAATGGTGTAGATTTACAGAGAGCATCTGATGAGTTACTCCGACTGTTCTACCAGTAACAAGATAGAGGAGAAACAACCTAAGAAAAACATTTTGAAGATCCCAAGTAATGGTTCTTAAGTTTAATACTAATTTAATTAGCATTCCATAGGGGCTGTTTTCTGGAAATTTTGATGTAGTGGATTCACTAAGCAGCCCAGACCCAAGGCCTTTCAGTGGGAAATGGCTTATTTTCATTGTTTTGATCATGTTTAAAGTTAATCGGAAATCAATTTCTTTTTCAAGAACTAAAACGTCACTGTTCTTTATTCCTCTTCAGAGGTCTGCAAACTTTGTTGTAAAGGACCAAATACTGAATATTTAGCACAGAATCAACATATATATAAATGAAGGGGTGTATTGTATCTCAAAAAATATTAGTTCTGGACGCTGGAATTTGGATTTCATGTAATTTTTAATTTTCAATAAAATATTATTCTTTTGATTTTTTTTTTTTAATTTCAATGACTTAAAATGTAAACACCATTCTTAGCTCCAGGGTAGTACAATTTGGTCAACCTCTGATTTCTGCTCTACTTTCGTAGCTGGTGTCTTTTCTTTTGGGGAGTATATTTATACTTTGCATATGATAGGGGCCCTGTGTGTGTGTGTGTGTGTGTGTGTGTGTGTGTGTGTGTGTGTCTGCTCTACTCCTCCAGCCTCCCCTCTAGGGGATGAAGTAGGGTCTCTAGACGTGAGAACTTTGATTGCTCAAGACTTTGCCTCCAGCAGCCTAGCCCTGATGGCAGGGATGCCAGCTTTGTGGACTCTGATAAAACTCTGGACTTGTTCTCCGCTCAGAGAATTCTGAGCGACTCTTGGAATAGAAGGAATTGAGAATGCAGACAAAGGTAGTAACTCTGAGAGTCACGGGCAGTTGAGTTTTTCGTCCAGAGAGCTCTGTAAGAAGGGTAAAAATGGTGGTGGTATCCTCCTAATTTGTTTGCAAGTATATCTATTTTAAAAGACTTAGACCTGTCTGTGGTGTTTCTCTTCATCCTTATTCTTAGAGAAGTAGGCAAAAGACATGCTTCTACAAAATGTAAGCATATGGTTTTGCTTTAGTACAATATTTAGGGAAATTAGGAAAGTTGCAGAAACATCCAGTTTCCCTGAAATGATCTGCAGAACATGGGACAGTGAAATAAAGGCAGATATGCATTGTATTCAGCTGACTCTGGTTTAATAGGAATCATTCTTATTAGGATGCTCTCCCAAAGTCCTTAATAAATATAAAGCTTTTAAATATTTGTCCCATTTTGTAATTAATCTAGATTTAGCAGTGGCTCTTCCTGGTTTGGGAGGAAGCATGCTTGACTGTTGCCAGGCAACAGCTAATCGAGGTATTAGCTGCCAGCAAGCTGTTGGCAGTAACAGTAAATTCTTTTGTCTTGTTAACAAAAAAAAATGAGTGTTAAAGATACAGTAGTGTATAAAGTCTGTTCTGTTGTTCATATATATATAACTTAGGCGATAAATTCCTGTGCTACTATAACCTCAGTGTGCTACTAAAATTTATAGTGGATTGAGAGGACCCATTCATTCTTGTGCTTGAGTCACGTGTGTCTTCTCATGACGCTAAAACTCATAGAAGGGGACAGTGACATAACAGAGGTATTGTTTTCTTAAGATCTCCTAAAAAGAACCTGAGGTTTGTGTTAAATTATGGGTTGTGAAATACATGCAGACTTCTAGCATAAACATCCCAAGCGAGGACTCTGGTTCATGAGCAGGTGTCACCAATTCTCCGTTGCTGACCTCGGTCTCCCTTATCCCCCTGGTGAGCACCCGGCACAGGTGGCCAATCCTGTGGCAGCCAGGACCCTGGTCCCCCCTCCACCCCAGCTCGGCCAGACTCGGTGCACGTCTTCTAGGACAAAACCTCATCAAAATAATTCTCACTTCATAAGCAAACATGCTGTGAATCATCCTTTGGACACACAGAATTAAGAAAGAAGAAAAAAACACTATTTCGTTGATGCTTCCGTAAAAAAACGAAACTGCATTATATCCCTGGAATAGACCCCTGACCACTGTCAGCATTTCTCTCTTCTGGTTACGTGTTTCTAGAGGACGTTGTGGATGGTCTGTCAGGGGTCCCACATTCCATCAGGCCCTTTGGCGTACCTTTTCTCACGTTCCGCTCATACCCAGAGTGGCAGGTGGGGGAGACACAGCAGGTCCGATGGGCCACGAGGAGAGGAGCTGGAATGAAAGTTCACGTTTCCTCTGGTTTCCAAGCCTGCACTCCACTGTCCGCTCAGCTTGGGTCTGGTATCCAGAAAGGTCTAGTTGCCCAGTAAACCAGGATAAGGCACCAAAGGAATGGCCAAGATGTTCAGAGTACTTCCTTCTTATTTTCTTGATTTCTAAACAACCAGCTAAGATGTTTGTAGCAAGATTTTTAAAAAGTATCCACGTGTATGAGTTTTCTTCTCTATGCTACCGTATTCTTTGCGTGTCCCCCCGCCCCAGCAGAGGCAGGAA